GTCTGCCGCTGGCAGCGTGCGACACAGGCATGTGCTGCTGCCCACCACAAGTGATGTCACGAGGTGACTGTGACTCTCTGGTGACATCACAAGTCTCTGGGGGGGGCGCATCCAGGAGCTCCCCCAGCCTGAGAGACAGACCCTGTGATGCAAAGCCTGCCCGGCCATGCACTTCACACCTCTGCGTTTGCTCCGGCCCTTTCCAGGCGGTCCCTGGGGGTGGGGGTGGTTGTGCCAGCACCGCACACTCACAGAATGGCTGGGGGGCACCCCCAGAGGTCCCCTGGTCCAAGCCCCCATGGAAGGAGGGTCACCCTGACCCAGATGAACCCCAGGCACCCCTGAGAAGAGCCAGGCTCCATCTTCTTCACACCCTCCCTTCAGATACTTGGATCTGTGGAGAAGACCCCCCCAACCCTCCTCTTCTCCAGGCTGAACAAGTCCCCACTCATTCAGCCCTTCCTCACAGGAGAGATGTCCCAGTCCCTTCCCCAACTTGGTGGCCCTTTGCTGGGCTCTCTCCAGTCTGTCCCCATCTCTCCTGTCCTCGGGAGCACAGCCCTAGACACAGCCATCCTGCGGTGGCCTCACCAGTGCTGGGCAGAGGGGAATGATCCCCCCGTGCCTGCTGGCAACGCTCCTTCTCATGCAGCCCAGGACACCACCGTTGGCTGCCTTTGCCGGCTCAGCTTCAAGGTGTTGTCCACTGGGACCGTCTCTGCAGAGCTCCTTTCCAGCTGGGCTGTTCCTCCCCAGGGGCAGAACTTTACACATCCCTTGGTTGAAGGTTGAACTTCAGGAAGTTCCCATCAGCCCATTTCTCCAGCTTGGTGAGGTCCCTCTGGCTGGCAGCGAGATCCCCTGGTGTCTCAGCCACCCCTCTCAGGGTGGGATCACCAGCAAACTTGCTGAAGGTGCAGTGTGCCCCATCATCCAGCTCACTTGCGAAGAGGAAGAGAATCAGACCCAGTACTGACCCCTGGGGTACAAATGATCGGCCTCCATCTAGGCTTCACACCACCGATCAACACCCTCTACTTAGAGGCCTAAAGCATCAACATTCAAAATCACTTCTGCACAGATCAGAGACTGTTTGCAACGTTCCACCTCTCCCCAGCCTTGCTGCCATCTCCAAAAGCAGAAGTTTCGGTGCTATCACTTATTGGCCACAGTTGGCATTTTCATCTTCAAATACAGGGACTGTGGAATATAGCATAGGATCTGCTGAATTGCTAGCCTCCCTCTCCACTTCTCCTGAAAATACCCTTGCAGCACTATCTACTGACACTGCCTGCCCGGATCACTCTACACTCCCTGCAAACACGCTGAAGATGCCACGGCACCAGGGGAGCCACCAGAACAGAAATTTCCAAAGCAGCAAAAGTTTTGAAAACCCTTTGGACAAGGTGGCTCTCAGGTCCCAAAGGAAGTTCCAGGTGCAAAGCAGACCCATCACGCCCTCAGGCAGGTTCTGCACGATGGCTGGCATCAGAAAGCTTGCAAGAAAGAAATGTCACCACCCAGGCCTTCCCTAGAGCTGCACACCAGGAAGCCTCCAGAGACAACCGATGGAGAAACACAGCCAGAACCATCTCTCCTACCTCTGCTGTAGATCTGAAGCAGTGCTAGAGCTGTACCTCCCTCCCTGCTGAGAGACTCAGTGACAGATTTCTTCAAGGTCCAAGGCTGCATCGTGACTCCCGAGTTAGGAAAAACAACTGCCGAGATCAATCCCCACTGTTTGCGGTTTCTCTTGCTGCCCGTTGGCTCACAGCTGTCACCCAAACTCTTGTGATATTCTGCACTGGAGCTAGGCGAGCTCCAGTCCTGACCTCTAGGACTACACTGGGTCCTTCCAGGTCAGCTGGACAGCACCATCAGGATTGGGTCCTGCCACAGTTCTCTCCATCCCACAGCAAGAGGTAGGAGCTCCCTCCAAGTATTTAAGGTGAGTTTCATTAGGCAGGAGCTGGAATTGTCAGCGTCTGTCCCCACAGTGCAAATCCATTCCTGATCCCACTGCTTCCATGGCATTACTAAGGTTGCAGAGAAGGGTCCAGCAGGTTGGATCTGCAACCCAACCCCTACTAATGAAGGGGCTTCAAAAAGCCCCTCAGTAACCACTGCCAGAGCAGAGGGACACACAGGCCACCCTGCAATCACGCCCAAGGACACAGCCATAAAAATAAAAGCTTTTTATTTTTTTTTTTTAATATACCATTACAGAAACATCTGAATAACATTCTCAACAGGATGGGCAGCTCCATGGCCCTGGGGGTGAGTGCAGGCAACCAGCTCTGGGCTCTGCTGTGCTCCCGGTGCATGACAGCCCACTTCCCACCCTCGGTAGGGAGACCCAGACCTCCCGGCATCAGGGCGTCACCTTTTTGTAGGTAATGTGGAGGTGTTGAGTCATGGGCTGCGTAGTGGTTGCCATCGAGACAGTTTGTTCGAGTTTCCCATCGGAATTGAGCCTGAATTTTCTGGTAATCTAAAAAGGGGGTAAGAAAAGAAGTAACAAAATCAAGCAAACAGCATCCACAGGCTAAATTCCTTACCTGTGCTTTCTACCTTCCCTTCGCCATCCCTGTGTTTGCTGTCAACGCATCACAGGTGGAAGGATATGCTCGCCACGGTCACACGAGTAGACGAGGAGAAGTTTTCTCCCCTAAAGAAGGCAGCCCTTTCCAAAATACCAGCTGCAAACCCCCAGCCATTATCCAGGGAGCGACGTGCTGTCCTGGCACTGCTACTGCCATCACCTCGGCACAGACAGGCCAGCATCCCTCCAACGAAGAGCTGCTCCTGGCTGGCAGCTCAGGGAGATGCTCTGCACTGGACAAGATCCCCAAGGGAGCCTTCAAAACCACTCAGGCTCTCTGCAGGTCACCACACTGTGTCAGAGTAAGGCGTTGCTCACGCTACATGGGGAGACGGTAGCCTGCTGAGCCTCGGCTTGCACCTGCAGCCAGGCAGGGGTTCAGCCCCGGGGCAGGAGGGAAGAGCACCGCCATCCATCAGGAGGGCTTGACAGGCAAAATCGTCCCCACTCCTCCGCCTGGGCAGGCTGCGAGTCTCTCTGTGCTGCGTCAAATGCCCAGGGAGGCAATTTTGGGTGGCCCTGCAGATCTGGACCACTTCGGACCTGTGCAAGCAGATGCCTGAACCCAGGCTCCAGGCAGCTTCCAAACTGGAGGAGGGAGCAGCTAAGCATCCAGTGTTGAGCACAGGTTGCAGGCCTGCTCTTCAGTGCCACTGAAATACAGAAGAAAAGCAGGACCATCCTTTCCGAATCCTCCATCCTTTTTAATCCTCCTCTCTGTCCACGCGGGCAGCTCCCTGCACTTCAGCATGGCCACACCAGCAAGTGCCTGCAACACATCCCTGGGCCAGGGAATGGGTCTTCCTGCCTGAATTACGGCTTGGCCAAGCCACAGCCATCCCGAATCCAGCAGGAACACCACCTTATGGTGAAGTTCTCTCAAAATGAGCAACTACAGCAGCAGCACACGTGCCCTTTTCACGACACTTGAGGTCTCTTCGTTTCCATGGGCGATTTCCGTTGTTCTTGGTGAAGAAAACACGTTGGGAGCTGGCTGGGAGCTGGCAATAGCCTCTCATTCCACATCCTCCTTCACCAGCAAGGGCCTCCCAGATATGCGATGTGACCAGTACCTGGGACTGAACTGTCCTCAGGTGCCAGCTGAGCATGGACCTCCACAAACTTCCATGGACCAGCTCAAGGGATTCCCTCTTCCAGCCTTCAGCCAAAGCCAGCCTTGCTGCCCTCAACCAGTAAGACGTTTGCTGGCTTTCCGTTGCTTTCCCCCTCTCCTCCCTCCGCCCTATCTGCTCACACCTCAGGCAGTGACTCTGAGAGGGCAGTCCACTTTATTTCAATATTTGCAGTTAAGCGCTCCGCTGCCTTGGTGATATCCATAGTATTTAACAGTTTTATTTCTCCCGCTATAGAAAGGAGGTGACATAGCTGTTCCTGGGAAAGGAGAGACCCAGTAACTTAAAACATGCCTCTGAAGGCAGGGGAGTTAGGACTGCCCTTCCGGAGTTCGGACATTGTTTGCGTGGACACATACAACTTTTGGCATGTCAGTGAATTTACAGAGCACATTTATGCCACAGGCTGCTTCTGCACAAAGCTGTGCTCTCTGTTACGGGTTGGTTTTATAGTGCTTAAAAACTAGGCTGCACAATTAAGCCTTGAAGTGCAGAATAAGACAATACTGTATTTGCTGCAATCAAAGTAGCATCTTCTCTGCAAAGAGCCACTTGTCACCCTTCAGAAATGGCAGTCGGTCACTTGGTTCACATGTTGTCGGAGAAAAGAAAACAGATGCCAAGAGCATGGGGGTACCTACTCTTTGCAAGAGCTTGTTCAGCCTTGCTGTCTCTCTCAGCTGCTAGTCAGCCAAGACCACTCTGTATGCGACAGCTAGGACCCTGGCGGTGACCTCAGGATGTGACACAAACTCCAGCAGTGCTGTCTTACTTGCAGCTGGCTGTACCCCATCGAGCTGCATCAACAACCAACCACTGCTATATGACCAAAAAAAAAAAAAAAAAAAAAGTCAAAACCCAAGAAGCAGTCAACTAAGGCTGGAGCTGACAGCAAGTGCCCAGCACTGAGAAGGAGCCACAGATGGGAAGACAGCCCCTAGCAACTTGTGAATGCCCTGGAAAGCAAGTGAGCAAGATTTGCAAAGACAAGGTGGAGCTCCAGTGAAAGGCAGGCATTCCTAAAACATCCTGATGAGGCCCAATACTGGACATACCTCACATGTGCGCTCTCACACTGTAATTAATCCAGAAGAGCAGCATTAAGAAGTAACACCACTGACGTACAAGGGTATTTAGACAAGACTTTCCTATTCTCTTCCCTACGGACCTGCTACTGGCCACTGCTAGAGACAGGATTCTTGCCTGATTCTGCACATTGGTTCTTTTGTTAACAAGCCCTCTGGGTCTTGTAATGTATGAAATATCTTCTGAAGGCTGTTAGAGAAAGGATGAGCCAGGATGCCATGTGATATTTCCAAGAACTCCTGATGGCAATCTGGAACTAAAGCATGCTCATCAACCCATCATCGCAACTGGACACCTTCTGGGGCTGGCAATACTTTGTGAATTGCTCGCTGTGTGCGCACTTACCTGCTCTACGTGGGGCTTCTTGGCAAAGGAGATCCTGGCTATGGAGTGAGAAGCTATCGACAGCTCTTGTCCATTCACCTCCCCTTCCTCCACCTCCACCAGACCTAGCCAGAAACAAGGTAGTATTAGGCTACAAAGGTTACTTAACAATGTCACAATTACTAGGCTGCATAATCGATCACCAGTCTCACCAAAGAACAGTTTTATTTGACCTAGCACACACCGACAACTGCAAAGCCACACAACCTCAGACATGTATACTGCTTAGAAAAATCTAGCCAGACTTACTCATAGAACCACAGAATCGTTTGAGTTGGAAAAGCCCTTTAAGCTCATCAAGCCAAACCACTCCCCTAACCCTGCCAGCCCACCACTAAACCCTGGCCCTAAGCACCTCGGCTGCCCAGCTTTTAAATACCCCCAGGGATGGGGACTCGACCCCTGCCCTGGGCAGCCCCTTCCAGTGCTTGACAGCCCTTGCGGGGAAGGAATTTTTCCCAATGTGCAACCTAAACCTGCCCTGGCACAACTTGAGAACGTTTCCCCTCGTCCCATCGCCTGTTCCCTGGGAGCAGAGTCTGACCCCCCCTGGCTCCCCCCTCCTCTCAGGCAGTTGTAGGGAGCAATAAGGGCTCCCCTCAGCCTCCTCTTCTCCAGGCTGAACACCTCCAGCTCCCCCAGCCGCTCCCCAGCAGCCTTGGGCTCCAGATCCCTCCCCAGCTTTGTTGCTCTCCTGTGGACATGTCCTGGATGGAGAGGCTGCAAAAGGGGTTTAAAACCACCACAGCCCCTCCTTGCCAGGGCTACAAGCTCTACCCTGCACCGCAGAATCAAATGTGGCAAGTGTCGACATTGGTAATAACAGGTAAGTGGGATGTTAAATCTCTCCTTGCTTAGAAGGAGCAGCTGGCTAGATATGACACTAGGAATAGGAGGAGGACGCTAGGCCCTGGAGCTCATGAACCAAGGCATGCATCTCTATTTCTATCGCTGCTCTTTGGCACTGAACCCACAGTGAAAATAAATGAAATGAAACTGTGTTGAGGTGCGATAATTTTCTGGAAAAGTAATGAAATGGCACAGCAGGGTAAAGACCTTTTCCCCAGTGTGGATATCAGGTGTGTACCTGTGTTCTGGGCACTGATGAAAGCCACCTTGTTAGTGTCAGGTTTGAGGCGGATAAATCCACATTCTCGGTGCATGGGCTTCCTGGTGTCTGGATGGAAGGCGTTGAACCTGAGGGGAAATGGGAATACAAAAGCTGTTTGTTGCACTGAAAATACAGTGAAAATATAACACCTGGTATCATCTCAGAGGAAATTGGGTTTTATTTAACCACACGATTGCCTGCAGTATTATTTGAAAAGACTGACAATGCTTCACAGTTGGGAGATGTAAGCATGTACGGTTACTTTACAGGCACAGCCATGTGTTAGAGCTGGAGTTAGTTATTTAAGCTTAAGCTTCAGATTTTCCACAGCTCCTGGGTCTTTCTAAGAGCTAGCTCAGAAAGTCCCTCAGGAAATCAGACATTTCACAGATGCTGAAGCCATGCTCTGACCCAAATATTTCCTTTTCTTAAATAAATATTGGGAATTACAATATCATCGTTATTTAGCTTTTAAACCTGGCAAGTTGGGGGCTTTCTTTGTATATTACTTGCTGCAGGCCGTAACAGAGCAGACTGTGATGGTCCTGATCCTGTACACACGTGCTTCTGCACGAACTCACAGGTGTGAACTCACTTTTGAAAAGCTCTGTCAAAGTGCACTGTACTCTTGAGCTAGTGAATCTTCAGTGATTCCAGGTGTGCAGCCCTGGGTACGTTGCAACAGCACGTCAATTAATCACAAGTTTTAAAGGAAAATGAGAGTCAGGCCATGCAGTCACGTATCATTGCATCGTCTCATTTGGTAGGTGAACACTTGTTTACTTTGCCACTCAAAAAGGAACACAGCCAATAAATCTCACTGGAGCCACGCCTGCTCGGATCCAAAAGCTGCTGCCAACATGGATAGACCCCGAGACTTACGAGAAGTTGAGCATGGGCTGTCCCACGTGAGAGATGTGCACTTCTTCCAGGTACTGGAAGGGCTTCATTGTAGGGAAGGTGCCATCTCCTGGCGGGTCTGAGAGCCAGGTGCCCAGCATCCAGGACAGGGGCTCCATCACAGGATTCAGCTGTGGAGTCTCTGTGGATGAAGAAGAACAAAGAAAGAGAATTCAGGGATCTGCACTCTGCAGCTTGCTGTGAGCTGCTTAGAGCTGGGTGGAGGCAAACACAAAACACCTCAGGAACGGTCCAACGTCGCAGCAAGGCTTTTCTCTAGAGCAGCGCCAGCTCCAAGGTGCAAGGGGAGACGGGGAACAATGAACAGCCACGGGAAGGGGGCCTGTTTTCCAACCTGCTCCTGGCCTTACACAGAGCTCTCTTTCAGCTGGTCCATTCCTGACTCCTCTCTGTAGCTTGATCTGAAGAGAAAGCCCCCTCCCACCTACATGCGAGGAAGGAGAAGACTTGAAATTGGAAGAATTACCACCAAATGATAGTTAAACCTCTAATGCTCCGGCCTGATTCTTCTCAAGCACTGAGTACGTACCATTCCTCTTTGTTTCAGGGACCAAGGAAACGAGTCCTCACTTCAGAGGAAAAAGAATCAGGCTGCATATGTATATATGTATTCAAGATCAAATCAAATATATATACGTATTCAAGATCAAAGTTTGGCTGTAATTTTTTTTGAAGAGGTTAACAATGACCTGCACTTGTACAAAGAGACAGGAATTGTTCAGAAGTTGTCCTGCTTAGGCTCTAGACTAAGGCTAAGCGAAATGTTTTAGAAATATGAGGGTGCCTGCAAGTTAAAGCATAAGTGGAAGAGAAAGCTCCTTCCCTTTGCCATTGCATTTATTAAGAAGCAACCAAGGTCTGCTTTGCAAAGTTAAAATTTCTTTAGCAAATTATTTTAGAAGAGCTTTGGCAAACAAGAGTTTTTCATTTTGCTGTGATTTCAGAGGGTGTGACCTGAAAAAAAAAATAAAAATCAGAGAACCGGAGACAGACAATACAAAGCCACAGGATCAGGAAAGACCGATACCACAAGAAGCGAGGGGCCCATGACTATGGGTTAGCTATGTTATGCAGACAGGGGTGATTGAAGTAGACTTAAATCACATCCTCCTCCCACTCGCGTGCAGGATGAGTCGTGCTGGTGGGGGGGGGGATTTGAAGGGGGTTGTTTTTCCACACCTAGTGATATCACCTATTACAAGAACCAGCTACCTGTCCACCTGGTCTAAAAGGCAGCGGACCCAGCTGCAGGGAGAAATTACAACCTAAAAAGGTGATGCTGTGTGGAAAAATTTGCTTGATCGGTCTGAGTTTCGCTGTGCTCAGTCCAAAGATTGGGTTAAAAAGACTAAGCGAGGAGGAAGAACAGAGGGTCAGCACCTGGAACACCAAAGGAGGGGGAACAGAAACTTTCCTGGGCAAAAGAGAATTACCACTTTTGTTATCTATTCTCCCACAGGTAGCAGGTTTAGAAAGCCAGCCAGCATATCAGCAAGATGCTGCTAATTACTCTTCTTTATCCCAAAGTATTTTGCAAGTGAAGCAACATGAGAAAACAGGAGAGCTCACTATGAATCAGGTGATAAAAGTCTACAGTGTCAGAGCCAGCCTTTGCAAAGGCCGTCCTGCCAGCCTTTGTGTTCACCACCAGCTCACCAAGGTGTAAGGAAGGGGTTCCTACAACCCATACAACAGTATTAGCATACTGGTTGGTATTTTATTGTACTTACCCTCTGCCTGTACTGTGAGCAACCAAAGCAAATGAACGTTATTTTCTGGTGCAGCAAAGACCTTGACACAGTGATGACCGGTAAGAACAGCCCAAAATTATTGCTACAGGAAACCCCATGCTTCTACACTGCTACTGAGGAACCAGCTTCCCTTTCAACTTTCACGTTGGGAGCACGTAGTTTTGTGAGTAAGGAGAGCATTGCTCCGTCCAACTGGTATTTGCCTTTCACTTGCTCCTGCACATGCTGCCTTTCTTTCTGAGCTTTTTTGCAGGCTCAAGCTCCCAGCGTGGAAGGGAAGAGCAAAGCTTTGGAAAGGCTAGAGGAGACCGCAGCCTGTGCTGCTGCTGCCCTCTCCTGGGACAGGAGGTGGCACCAAAACCTAGGAGAGGGATGCTCTCCGTCACCAGAGCGTTCATAATAGGGCACATCATTTTCTTCTGCTCACCAACCTTACAGTGTTAGAGGGAAAAGCATCAAAATGAGAGAGGGAAGAAATGGCTTTAAGCCATTTCACAGAATCCCAGAAGGGTAGGGGTTGGGAGGGCCCTCTGGGGATCACACAGTACCACCCCCCTGCTCAAGCAGCCTCACCCAGAGCAGGGGGCACAGGACATCGTCCAGGCAGGGGTTGAATATCTCCAGAGAAGGAGACTCCACAGCCCCCCTGGGCAGCCTCTGCCAGGGCTCGTCACCCTCAAGGTAAAGAAGCTCTTCCTCACGTTCAAATGGAACCTCTTCTGCTTCAGTTTGTGCCCATTGCCCCTTGTCCTGGCACTGGGCACCACTGCGAAGAGTCTGGCTCCATCCTCGTGACACCCACCCTTCAGATATTTGTATGTGTTGATGAGATCCCCTCTCAGACTTGGTTATAAACCAAGAGAAGAAGAAGTCATTTCTAGCACCCACAGCATGACCCCACTGCCTTGCTGTGCAGCATCCAGCCTGGCTGGAGGTGCTTTGACCGGGCAAGCTGGTCTGACTACCAAAGAGCTGGGCTTCAAGCCAGCTGAAAAGTGAAGATCTAACTGTATATCTTGAAGTCTACGGCATCTGGGTAAACACCATGGCCAAGTGACCATGGCCAACCTGCCATGCTACCTGGATGGCAGCAAAGCCTACGTGAGTTATGTTCTTATGTTACTTTGGAAAAGCTGAGAGCAACAGAATTGCCAGTGAGAGCAAGGACCAGCAACTTAGTGAAGGGCAGAAGAGTAAAGACCTCCTGACCACATCCTACGCAGTGCTCTCGCCTTCGGTGTTGGTCTCTGACTAGTCGACTAAGTCCTTTTTTCTCCCCGGCAGCCTTCTGTGCCAGAGGGCTGAGCTGAGAGAATGGAAAAGCAAAAGTGGGGAGGCAGACGGGAGAGAGGCTGATTGAGGGGGAAAAAGAAAGTGGTGATTTGAAAAGAAATTTGCTTCTCAGGTCATGGTTGGGGTGAGTAAATGCAAGACTACTGTAGCAGCAAAGAGTAGTTTAAAGAGGAAAACATCTTTGTCTGCTGAGCAGCTTTGTTTCAAACGACAGGTTTACAGATGTGGTCACTGTCCAGAGGAATTTCACCGACGAAGGAAAGTGCACTTCCCTTTTTAAAGATCTAAACTCTTAATGCATCACTTTTACAAACAACCCGCTACTATGGCTTAAAAAGTAAGTGTGTGATGATGCAAACCATGTCTGAGAATTTGCAGTGCAAGAGACATTGTCCACCCTCTGCATGTTTAAAGCTTCAGACTCGGATGGGGTCCTCCTCCTTCCGGTTCTCTTGCATCCACATGCAGAGGTTTTCTTTTCTCTAATAACAGGGAAGCTCATACTACAGCCTCTTTCTTAAAAAGGTCATTCCTGGAGTCACTTTCCCCTACCAGATGATATATTTTTTTGAAGCCATTTGGGACCCAGCATCTTTGAGACCTCCGCTCCTCTAGGAAATGCGATTGCAATCAGCCATGACACTCACAAGTTGCAACAGCTTGGGAGACAAAAGCCACAGGCACGTAAGCAACCTGATCACCTACACCTCTGTTCTTCAGGAAGCCACTCAGGCCAAAACTGCTGTGCCCAGCTCCCAGGCACATGAGTCAGCTCCGTTTTGCCATCTGACCCCACTTCATCCCTCCAAACTCACAAACAGACCATTCCCACATCTTTCCCATTCACAGATGGTTTAGAAGTCAAATCCCCACCCTGCACTGTAAGAAAGTCAGACTGCAACTGGCTGTCCATGCTCTGCAGCAGCAGGCAGCACGCTCTCCCTGCCATGAGACAAACCAAAGCGGCTGGGCAACCCCCTCAGGCCACATCCACACAGGCTTCAGCCAGCATGGCTCTAAGGTGGGATCCCCAGCACAGAAAGCTACGCTGGCACAAATTCCTATGCAGCTTTATCAGCAAAACCGTGGCATGAACAGCTAACCTGTTTCCCCTAAGCTGGAGGATACTTGCTGCAGGAAACTTCAGCAAAAATAAATCCAACAAACCGCAACCAAAACCTCAAACCAACTCACACAGCACCTTCTGAGTCTTCAAAGTGCAGGGTCTACAGCAATGGCCTGGCAGCCTCCTGCAGTCCTTTCTTCAGCCAAGTCGCTTACTGGATTTAAATTACCATCATCAAGGTTCTGCTAATTAAGGAGCAGCCTTCTTGGGCATACTTCTTCCATATTTAAGTACAGAAGGTGGCTTTGTACTCTGCTGCCCTTCCCTGAGCGTTGCACTCTTTTACACACTTTGCTGATGCTCCCCCAAGTAAACCAGTAAAGCATTCCTAGCACTGACACCTCTAGCTCCACCTTTGCTCTAAAAGCTGTGGTTATAGTCACAAAATTTCATCTTACGGCTTTTCTTAGTGATTAATTTCATGACCAAGCACCCATGTGTTATCACCTCTATTTCTAACCTCTGTGGTAAAATGCTCCAGTGCTTGTAGCCACTGTCAGAGTTCTCTCGCGCTATAAAATACAGCAAAAACATTTTTCAAATTAGACCCTACTATGAGAAACCCGAACATCCTACCTGAGCTTACTTCAATGTTTTCCTTTCTCTCGAGTCTTCCTTAGTTAGCATTTCCATTGCTTCCTAGTTGCAAGCTGGTTTTTTTGTGGTGAGTCATTGCCGACTCGCTGCAAAATTGAATGCTTAATGCACAAGCTGTATAGGCTATTAGGAAAAAAAAACACCTAGAAAAACCTAGACCGTTCCACTGAAAAAGAAGCAACATCAGAGCCTTGTTCCCCTCTTCCAAGCATCTTTCTCTGCAATGGGGTGGTGAAAGAGCCGTCTCCCTGATCAACCGCCTCCAGAGCCAGGTCGGTGCCCGCTTGCTGGCTGCATACGGAGCACGAGGAGCTTACCCCCATCCTGCTGCAGGGCAGCCCGTGCTCGGGCTGTGCCTGCTGCTAAGTCTCACCCAGCCTCTCCCATGATGCCTTCTGCCACAGATTCAGCCCTGCACTTAACCTATACACACATATTCCTGCTCCTTATCTCACTCTTTATAGCTCCCCTGTTCTTCCTAACACCCACTTTGTTAACCAGCCTTCTACCCTGGCTGTTCCCATCCCAGACATGGCAGAAAAACCCCACAAGCAGCATCTGCCATCTCAGAACAAAAGCTTTTTCCTTCTAAAATCTAGCTCCAAGCTAACGTGCAGCTGCCAGGTTAGCAGAGCCTGCCCTGGCAGAGGCAATTTTTCTGACAGAGCACCCCCACGATCCTTTATAAACATTTCATTTTCAAGCTAAACTGGACGGGGACCTGTTGCTGTCCAAGTTCTGCCCAGATGGATGAAAGCTCATCTCACATCCTTGTACAACCCTACTTCTCACTGCCACCGAGGAACAGGATTTTGCTATTTGTTTTCTGCAACATGAACGAAAACTGGTGTCACATCTTGATGGGAACCACCACCTCAGGCCCCACAGAGCTGGCATCGGGACTCCATCCCGGCACAAAACCAGCCATTTAATGTGCCAAGTCCTTCTGCCTGTCCCCAGAGTTCACCAACTGTGCTTCATTCACATGTAAAACTTACTATAAATGATCCCATTTCTACGCTGGCTTTGTACAAATATTTAAAGACAAATCTAAGCTGGAAGGAAATAGGATTTCCTACAGGTTCCTAGCAAAATTTACGCATTTTTCACATGGACTTATTTTGCAGACTCTCCTGCCTTTGGTATGACCTTCGAGAAAGCAACCACGCAGCATGGGAGAGGCTCCACACGTGCCCAAACAGCTGAATTTAACAGCTTTACCCCTCCGATAGACACTCCAATCCCGTCGAATCATACCTGCGTTTGCTCCACTGCCAGCCATAGCTTGCGGGGTTATTTTTCTATTGCCTGGCCTAGCTCTCTAACCACCTTTGCTCACCAGCCAGTGTTTTGCGCAGGGTTGGTAAGATGGCTATAAGGGAAGTGAGCTCATGACCGGGCAGGACAGTTATCCTGGTGCCTGCTGGGAGATGTAGTTTTACAGAAGGACCAAACCCAAGCACGTTAAGACGAGGCGACCTCATGAGAGGAGCAATCTTGCGTCTCCTGTCTGCGCTAGCACTGGGGGATACAACGCAGCAGGGCCACGAAACTTTCAAGCAGAGCAAGATGGTCAGATGGCATGCAAGGACAATGCTGTTAGAATAGCCTCCCCTTCCTTGGGATACTGGATCCATATTTGCTCAGTGGCTCTCCCTAACTTCTCCCAGTGTATCCTGTTGCTCTCCAGAAGACGCATCTAACCTCGTTCTGCCTGGGGCACCGTGCCTGACTGCGCTTCTCTGCTGCATGTATTCCTCAACCTTTAGTCCACACACCTCAGCAGCAGCCCATGCAACAGAAGGAAACGTTTTCCTTCCAAAGAAGTGAGCAAATTCAAAGGTTAGAGGGAAAAAGTCACTGTGGCAGCTGCACAGGACACAGCGCAGGGCTTCTCCTAAAACCAGTCCGTTGATCGCCCTGTTAAGACAGGTTGGGAAACGTCGCTCAAGCGCATCGTGACAGCTCGAGCACGCTGCGAGCCAAACTCACCCAGGCTGAGTCACCCATCCCCAAGCGTGGCGGGCAGGGACTGTGCGTGCAGTTCTGCAGAAACCTGCTCTTTCCACCGAGCTGGAGTTTGGATACAGCCAGCAGAAATCTGTCTCACTGGAGGAAAATGTCAGCCGAGAACCTGGACCAAAACAAGGATCTGCTTAACGGGTGTGGGCCTAAAGCTCATTTTTCTGCTTGTGGTTCCGTGGAAGCAGCTGAATGCCAGGCAACAGCAAAGAGAGGTCCCACGGCGCATGGAGTGGGGATGCAGCCACGCAACAACCGGAGCCGTCAGCCCAGTAGGCTGCTGTGCTTACACTCCCGATCCCCAAGGCACTGCCTTTAGCAGAAAAAAAACACGCAGGCTCAGGCTGACAGCCACTAACGCCACCTCAGTTACACATCGGATGATCCAGGACAACTGAAATGTAGCTGCTAACCAAGACTATAATTATTATTCACCTAATCTGTTGCCTGACTGTATTTTTATGGGTACCAAAAAGCCCTTCGTCATTTCAGCACGGCATCACAGTGAGACTTTGTGTCTACGCATAACCCAAGCTCTGCCCAGCCCAAGTCAGCTGCACTTAATCAGGGATTTTGACTACCATAAACTATTACTATGAGCACAAAAAAAACCCCAAAGCAATGCAAGGCTGATGAGCGCCACAACGAAACTTAAAAAAAAAGAAAGGCCAGCTAGCCCCCAACAAGCCCTTTAAAAAAAAAAATCACTAGCCAAAGGGTTCCCATCGTGCCGTAATGAATCATTCTCACACACTGATCTCCAGTTTTGCTGATATGAGACAGCAGAATAGGTAGTGCGTTGGGCAATTAATTAAGAAAATTGATATTATCCCTTAGAAAATAGACTGTGTGATTCTTACGTTCTTACAGAAGCTGTTCTTAATACACAACTCTGATGTTCTCAAAGATGCACGAATAGGAACATTCATCTCAGGCAAGAAAAGAAAAATCATAGCGCTTACTAGCATAAAGAAAAATCTCCTTCAGGATACTTTTTTTGCTGTTAGTATCTCACTGAAGGTACTCCAACAAAGCTAGAAACCCTTTTTTATATATATATACGTATGAAAGAATGACGACTGCGGAACCTTAAAACTGCATTTTCTTTAGCCTGACACCAAAACAATACAAAAATACAGACCAGAAGGTACAAATAAAGATTATGTTGATATCCCGTGGGGGGGAAAAACTCTT